GAAACCCGAAACCCGAAAACCCGAAACCCGAAACCCGAAACCCGAAACCCGAAACCCGAAACCCGAAAACCCGAAACCCGAAAACCCGAAACCCGAAACCCCGAAAACCCGGAACCCCGAAACCGGAACCCCGAAACCCGAAACCCGAAAACCCGAAACCCAAAAACCCGAAAACCCGAGGACTTCCCAGGGGGGTCACCCATCCTAGTACTACTCTCGTCCAAGCACGCTTAACTTCGGAGTTCTGATGGGATCCGGTGCATTGGTGATGGTATGCTATTTTAGTTATTAAATTCTTATATTGAGGTTATGCTATGTTTTTGTGCCTTTTATGTATATGTATTTTGTAATTCTTTTTAAAATTTAAAGATTCATTTTTTTAATGTTCTTAAAATGATTTGATTTTCCCATCAAAAAAAAAGAAAAAAAAATCTGATTCTACAAAAAATATATGTAGTTTTTCATCTAAATTTTTTTTATGGTATTTAATATTGTTTTATTAAAGTTTAATGAACTGTGATTGTATATATTCTTATGAATTGATTGCAATTTGTCATATATGTTAAAATCAGATTTTACATATTTTTTATTTATAAGACTTAATTGTCTTCGGAAATTAGAATTGACATGGAATATGCTTCACTTTCCACTAAATATTGAAAAAAAAAAATTAGTAACAGACATTGTGTGTTAATCATAGGATGGTATCCAAAGAATTTTTTTACTTGAGTTTTGATCATATATAAGTCCCCGTCAAAAAAAAAAAAAGATCATATATAAGTTTATGCTAATATTAGTAATCTATGAGGTTTTTTAATAATTAGACTAATCAAATAGGAACACCAAATGTTAATACCTAGTTATGACTATATTCATGTAATAATAAAATATAGAGCTTTTAGCAAGCGGCACCCCTGTGATATGTCTAATTGCCGAAAAAGTCCCTATGTAAAAACAATTAGCACTTACCTCCCTATGTTAACAAGTCAAAGTCACCCGCCCCCCTACCAGCAAATCGTGTGACATACGCGCGTTTTGTGCGACTTGTTGATGGTTTTTTGACTTGAAAAGTCTCAAATGCCCCTAAAATCTTTTTTATAATAAACATAAATTCAATAGAACTTAAATATAAATAATACAAACTCTTGGGTCAAATCGCAAAATTTAGAAACTTTTTTGAAACCCTTTTTCCCCATTTTCTTCTCCGACGACGGTGTGGAGACCAACCGACAACCACCATCTGCATCTTCTTACAGTTCCGATATGGATGCCGAGAGGACATCTCCGAAGGAGTTTAGAAGATTAGGGAATTGATTTTCAGTTGACGGAGCCGCCGCCAATGGAGTTAATCGGTCAAATCGAATTCACCAACGGCGGAGGTATTATTTGAAATTCCCATCTCCAGACTTCAATTCTTGGTCGGCGGAGAGAGGTAGCGGAAATGCTGGATGATAGATGGTGGATGGCGGAGAACATAATGGGTTTTGGGTGGGGTGGCGGGGGGGGTTGGCTGGCACGTTTGGGGAAGAAGACGGCTTTAATTAAGTTTTTTTTCTTTCCTTTTCTTTTCTTTTCATTATTTTATATGTTTTATTAAAACAAAAAAATAAAATTCTAAAACTATAAACTTTTTATTCAGTATATATTGTTTAATTATGTTTTTTTAAATATTAAGTTTCTCTTATATATGTTTTATTTTTATTAAAGTATATAAAAAAATTTTGGGGTCTGTTTCACAATTTGGAAAAATAGTTGTTTAGGGCAAGGGTACTATAGTCATTTCAAGGCAGTCAACGAATTTTATTTGGATCAGGGACTGTGGGTTAAATAAAACCCATCATAGGGGGGTTAAAGCTAATTGTTTTAACACGGGGACTTTTGCGGCAATTGGACATTTCAAGGGGGGTGTATGCAATTAACTCTAAAATATATGATGATATAATCTATACATCTATTATATATATATCTGTATGTTTTAAGATTAGTTTATTATGTGTACCAAATCTCTTAATATCATCTTAATAAATAAATTACATTTTATACTGAAGTTACATTTCCTTGTATGTATTCAAAATTAACAAAGTTTTATGCTTATACATATATCTAATATAATAAATTATTAATATAATAATAGAAGATATAATCATAGATTTGATACATCTAGTATATGGATGAATCAATAATTATTATTTTCAAAATAATATGAAGAGAAAGAAAAATGATACAAATTTAATTTTAAAAAATACATAACAATATAGAAATTCCAAATAAATTCCACAATTCTACTAAATATAAATTTACAACTCACCTTTAATTTGCAAGTTTGATAATACCAAGTACCAACTAACATATGTTGTTTTCGGACCATTGAAATTGTCCAAGAGATTTATAGCAAAATGTAAATATAATGAAATGACACAACTAATAAGAAAAATAAGCTGGAAACACCACAATGACGAGTTAGTTTTGACAAGATAAAATTTACCAGGCCTTATTCTTAAATTCTTGATATTATTTGTTTCATCTTTGTTTTTTTTTTTTTAGAGTAATTTGTATCATCTTTCAAAGAATACCATATTGCTTCATATATCTCGGACAGCAATTTCCACATTTTTAAAGCCCTAGAACATATTTTTCATAACAATATAATTGGAAGCACAATTTACAGCATAAAATAAAATGTTCATATAATATATATCAGAAACATGTAGCCTACAAGAATAAACCTTAAATACTATATATAATTTCGAAGCAAATTACAAAAATAATTACAAAAACATCCGAAATGTTTATCTGGTGAAACATGTAGCATATGCCATTTTTATACCCTGGTCATGATAATAGATTAGGGGGACTTAAATGACAAGACTAATGAAATTTTCAGTTACAAATTGATGAAATAATAAAGCCGGAGGAATACAAATGGATGTACCCTATTAAAAAGAAGAAGACATTCGTGTAGTATAATTACTTGAATAGATGAAAAGTTTTGTAAATGAAATTAATTCTGATATTTATTAATAATTATTTAGCTAAAAGTTTTCTTGTCAGCACAATTATTTCCGATATTTAATATACACGAGAATTTCAATTGATCATTTTATTAAATTATTAACAAATGCAAACTTTAAAAAATATATATAATCATAGTTCAATCTATATAGGGCTCTTTTGGTTTGGCGGATAAGGGGTGATAGACAAAATAGTCACCCTTAATCAGACGTTTGGTATGTGGGACATAAACCCGGTATTGATTGAGGGCCCGGTACCGAATCATGCATATGGGTGATAAATTATCTCACCCTCTGAGGTAGGATTGTACAATCAGTATAACAGGTGAAGATGAAATGACCAAAAGGGTCAGAGATGTATCATTCTTTACACAAAATTGGGTGTAAAAAAGACGTACATGCTCCCGTTTTCTCACTTTCACAAATTTCTGCTCCTCATCTTCATTAGTGGGTCTCCGACGAACCCCTTTCTCTGGCGCGACAACAGCAACATCCTCCGAACAAACGACGGGTAGATCTTAAAATATCTGAAAGTTATGGGTAAGTATTTTTCTTTGATTCTTCTTTCAATGAAATCGATTACACATCTAATTGGAACAATTTTCGGAAATTGAATTCGAAATCTTGTGAATTTAATTCGAACTTTTCAGACCTTTGCTCAATATCGCAGTCAGTCCTTGCAAGAGAACGAGGAAGAATTTGTCGTATTTCTCAAAATTATTTTTCCTCCGCCCCTTTTTATACTTAAATTTCTTGTAACTCTTCAAAAAGGCACTTTGATGTTAGAAGAATTTGTTGCGTGTATTTGTATACATACTTTAAATCTTCACATTTTTTTTGGGTAGATTCCTTGCTTTTTTTAATTTATATTATTATTATTTCATATATCTATTTCCCGTTTGGATATTAACCTGTTAGTGGAATCTGAAAAGGAATATATTTATATCTTTTGTTTGTTACATGCTAATCTTGTTTCAAATTTGGGAAATTATTAGTTCTAACAATTTTGTCTTTGGTATTCTTTTCATGCAGCTCGAAGGAAAAATCTGTTCTCGGGTGAGTTTCTTGATAATTTTCAAGAGTCCTTCTCGAATTATTAAAGTTGCTGGCTCATGTTTGGGAATGGGTGCAAAACAATGAAATTGGGCATGCAAAATCTACAGGTCCATGCATTCATTGGATTGTTATGGTGCCTAGTTTTTTAGGAAATCGGGTTATCATTCATCTGAAATTGGGCTGGACACTGGTCACTGCAAAGTGTTCTTGGATTCCGAAGATGTAGGCCAGACTCTTAATTTGTCTTCTCTTGGGTCGTACGAAGAGTCTTTCAAGAGGCTTGGACATATGTTTGGAATTGAAAGTTCGGAGATTATGAGCCACGTGTTTTATCGTGATGCAACGGTTGCTCTTAAACAAGCTGGTGATGAACCCTTCAGGTAAAAAAATACTCACATTGTTTAAGGTTAATAAATAAGTTATTATTACATATGTGATCCTCTGTGTTTGTTGACATGTTTTGGTCGACTATGGCGATGCTGTGAGTTTAAAAAAACTGCTAAAAGATATTCTTATGAAACCAAGCACAATGGTGCTGAAAGGTAATTACTTACCTAGATATTAATATAATATAATACAATACAAAAGCAAAACACGATTCATAAAATTTCTTTTAGGATTTTTCCAAATTAAATTAGATTGCAAAAATTTTGTATTTCAGGAAATTGATCACCGGTTTGCCAACCGCTGAGCGTGGACTTGTTTCCTTGAACCAGGCGAAACCCTTCAGCATATATGCATAGATTCATTTCTAAACAAGTCAACTTTGTGAAATTATTCAAGAATGTTATATTATTAAACTCCTTTTTAGTTAATTTGTATTGTTGGATCGAAAGCTGCTATTTTTATGTATCTGTTAAAACTTCAATCTGTCTAGCTTTAATGATGTGGATTGTCTTGTATTTTGCCCTTCCTTAATGTTGTTATCTAAATGTGTAGCCAGATGAACATTAAAAATGGTTCACTATTGTTCTCTCTCTTTCCAATTTGGATGAAATTGTGGTCATTTTTTGGTTTGGTTCATTTCAGAGGCAAAAACCATTGCTAATAGTTGGATTCATAATGACTTGTAATCAATCTGTTGGCGGCAGTCTCAGTTGTCCATTAGCTTAATGCATTATATTAACATAATTTAGTTTTTCATTGTTTAAAAAAAGAAATTATCTGTGTATTGTTTTTTTTTTTTTTTCCGTAAAAACACAGGTAAAATGAAATCCAAGTATAGGGATGGCAATGGGGCGGGTATGGGGCGGGTTTTGCAATCCCCATCCCCGCCCCGCTATGAAAATCCCCATCCCCATCCCCGTAAAAAATCCCCACGGGTATTAAAAGAATCCCCATACCCGTCCCATAAAATCCCCACGGGTATCGGGGCGGATAAAAATCCCCGTCTATTTTTTTTTTCTTTTTTTTTAATAAATAAATATGCAATTTAATGATTTATTTCAACAAATAAATCAATATTTAATTATAATACTAATATTTAATTATATAATGGAAACCTAAAAATCCCCATTTTAACTAATATTTAATATATTCCTACTATTTAATTATTTATATTTAATATAATAATTAAAAAATATATATTATATATATAAATAATGCGGGGCGGGTACGGGGACGGGTACGGGGCGGGTCTACGGGACGGGTATAGGCAAACCCATCCCCGTACCCGTACCCGGTCAAAAAAAAATTTCAATCCCCATACCCGCCCCATTTTTTTTCGGGGCGGGTAATACCCGAAAATTTCGGGGCGGGGATCCGTCGGGGCGGGTCAAATTGCCATCCCTATCCAAGTATGAAACCACCGGTACATAAATGGAAAGGGTGATTTTGTCATTGCAGATGTTATCAGTCATTATCATCCAAACCAAAAGTCACATTAGAGTTATCCTTAGTAGTAAATCCTACAAACCAAATTCACAATTTTGGCTACTATATAATCATGAATAGTGTAAAATTATATAATCCCAATAAATTTATCTATCCCATACATCAAACCAAAAGAGGCCATAATATATAAAGGGAGAATACACAATCAAAGTTTTTGTATCTTCAATTTTGATCCAACATTTTTTCATTTATTTCATTTCAAGACTTATTTCCATAATTATTATGGAAATTTTTAATGTATGAATATTCAATTTTTTTTTTATATTTCGTATTTTATGTAGTATCCGAAAGAGTAGGAAAAGTAAAGAATAAACTGCTCTTACATCCTCATCAAGTGAGAGACCGACACGAGGAACTGCAATCACTGAAAGAAAGGGTAAGCTGGCTTTGATGTCTGGTTTGGACTGGAGCGATACACAACCTCCCTACCGGTGGGACAAGCGGTAGTACGATTCAAGGGAATTGGACATTCCCGGAACTGCAACCTTTCTTGGAAATGAAAATGGAAAAATCACACTTACTTGACTGTCTTTATCAGAGGGGGGTCAATCTCAGAGTAGGAGGGGTGGCTTCAGTCCTCTGGGGACCGAATCTGCGCCATCGTCATTTATTGACGGATTTTTCTGGATTTGGACCAGGAGCGGTGAAAGTAGACGACTAGCTGGCTTCGCGTCCAAAGGAGTAGGTTCGCTGTTAAGCGATATGGGAGTAAGGAATAGGCAAGAAAGAGGATTAACCAATCGGGCAAGGATAACTCTACAGGTAGGCTGGACGATCTATCGTAAGGAATTGATGTAACAGTTAAAGAATTCAACTTGGCTTCAAGTCGGGCTAGGAACTTCGTTTTCAGGTTTCAAAGAATTTCATCCCTATCCCTTTCATCCAAGCCAATTGAAAGTAACCGATGCTAGTTGAGCAAGCTCTTCTCAAAAGAAGAAGAAAGGCCTATGGTTCACAGCCCTATAGCGCTAGCCAGCAAGCATTAGATGAAGCCGATTTTGCGAAAGACGATGAAAGGGTAGCAGTCGAATGTTCTAAAAAAGTCTGTCACGTATGGAATTGTAGTCTTTGCTTCTTCACCTCTCTTTCCCAAGGGCTACTGGTTGGTTTACGGACGAGCCCGTGTACTCCGTTTCCCAAGAAGACTCCAGAAGTATATCGATCTCACGGGTCCAAAAGAGGGAATGAAGGGATAGGAATAGGAATTATAGTACCATTGGAAAAAGGGGCACCTTGCAGGATTCTCCATCCACATCTTGAAAAGTTATGGCATTCCTGTCTTTCTTTCTTTCTCTCTCATTCATGACCTAACGGCTATCCCCGAAAAGGCATGCTTTCAATGGACCTGGCATGTTCAAAAAATATTTTTGAACGAAGGTCATAATTCGCAGGAACATTCTAAGGTCTTAATAAGAGGAGGTAGAGTCAAAGATTTGCCAGGTGTGAAATCCCATTGTATTCGAGCAGTCAGGGATTTGCTGGGGATTTTCGGAGTCTATGTCTAGGGAGCATACTTGATCTGCAGAATAAGGCCTAGGAGCTCTCTCTTTTATGGCAGAGACAGAGCCGTTATTCCCGACTGGCATAGAAGTCTCTCGCGCGGGCGAAGGAGATGCATTTCTGGTACTGGTAGTATTGGACAAGCTCTCAGGGAATAATCTATTTCTTTCTTATTTCTGCCTCAAAATCTGATATTAGGTCTGGTTCTTGAAGTCAAGAGTGAGGAGGGACTCTCATAAGGCAGTGTATAAGGATATATACCATTTGAGAGCTTGAAGTTTTAAGATGACTATTCCTACCCTGTCTAAGGTGTGTAGGATTTCTCCCAATAGTAATTTTACTAGACAATTAAACATTGTTGCAATTTTTCTTTGAATGTTTAGAAAGGTATAATTCACAATTAGTCAATAAATATATATATATATATATATATATATATATATATATATATATATATATATATATATATATATATATATATATATATATATATATATATATATATATATATATATATATATATATATATATATATATATATATATATATATATATATACTAAAATAGCTGAAATGGTCATATAACACTGATATATAGCGATGAAAATGTTAATAGCTAAAATGGTCATATTTTCAACTAATATAAAAAAAACTCTTACAGTGCATGTGGGGATCCCTATGCTAGAAAGAAAACTACCCTTCTACATTTCTGATTGCTCAAATGGTACACGCACAAATAGCTGCCCGTGAAGGGTAACCACAGCCGAGGTCTGATGAGGATCGATTCTAGTAGGTAAGCTAACCACCTGGGAACAACACATTTTTTATGTCATGTGGAAGAGGAATATAAAGAGTACAAGAAACATTTAATTTTTAGAGCTATTCATACATGCCTAAAAAATCAGTTTAAACAACAAAGCAAATTGTATTCAAATGCTATGCTATTATTCCACTTTGAGACATGTTTCTTAATGAAAAATGGACCTGTTTATAGCCCCAAGTTCTGATATGATTCATCCAGAGCTTAAACAATCGGATTATCATCTTGACAAAGTTCGGTCAAAACCAAAGATAGCATGTCCTAAAGATAGTAAGGGGAAGTACCACAAACTTTGCAGGTACCATCAAATTATAGACTAGAAAAAAGTTAATGTGGGATCTATAATGAAAAAAAAACACCTTCAACAACGGTTTCAGCATAGGTATACCGTATACAAACTACAGCGATTTTCGGTAATTTAACCAAAACTAAGGAGCTGTCTTGCAATTATTTCTTTATAGACCCCCGCAACATATATCATTGTTCATCTAAAAACCATGACCCAATGAAGATCCAAGCCATGATCCATAGTATGACTCCTAATTTAGATATCCAAAGATTCAAAAATGAAAAAAAATTCTGGTACCAGTCCCTAGAACTGGAAGATACGAAAAGCTATAAGACGCAGTAACATACTCTAGTACATAAAAAAATAAGGAAAAGGGATAATTACACTCGCATTTCCGAGATTACTTGACTGAGAGTGACATGAGTTACCTTTTTGAACGGAGTGACACCCCAAGGATTATCCTGCTGCTCCGGTTGCCCAGATATAACCAAACGCCCTGCAGGATCTGACTGTACACGCACCTGTTGTCAAATAAAGAATGAAACCGTTTGCATATGACCTTCATGGATAGAGCATACAATATAATAAAAAGATGAGAAGCAAATTGCCTAGACCAGGTGACGGTCGAATAAACTGCAAGGCTATTGTCATAAATTGAAGTTCTATTAAATATGTATGTAAAAATGAGTAAAAAAGATCAAGTTGTATCTAAAAACAGAAACTAACCAAGAGTTATGCATTCAAATAGCATCCCACTAGCAAAATCTGTGAAATGATAATTCAACAGCCTCTTTGTTGCTGCTCTCAGTCCCTCTCACTAAGAGTATGCTCTCTCATCCACTGTGAGATACATCCAACGGATGTTGACTTCCTAAATAATTAGGCTGAACGCTCACCATTTATTTCCATGTTCATGGCTTTTCAATTTGAAAGCAAATTAAAATATTTTGGACTACGCTGCTCCCCCAAAAAAATGAATAGTATACCCAGTTTTTTGGTGTCAAGAGACTTTACTAGACATCAAGACATTTATAGTGTGCCGAAAGCACTTAAGTTCATTCGACTTTGATGGACTGTGTATAGAACAATTTGCCAAGTAGAACTCAATAGGTCAACAAACAGGCACCTGATATAGATGTTGAGAATCGGACTCTAACAATAGACACTTCCAGACAGGTTTTTTCAACTAAAATTTGATATATTTCTAGATATTTGATAAAATTGGAACAATTAGACTGCCCCATGACATATAATCTAAAAAAAATGAATGAGACAAAAACATGTTGATGTTACTTGCCTCCTCGCGCAAAAGCCCAGGAACTAATGCATACACTTCATAGCAGTCTTTCTGTAAAACCGTGAATTGAAACCATTTAGATCTCTATGAGTAGCACAACAAAAGGTCATTACATACCAAGAAGCGGAAAGAAAAGAGTACCATTTGCTGCACATTAACCTTCACCCAATCAGCAGGGATGCCAACATCCACAACCATTATCTCCAATCGATCCAAAACCCTGAATTACGTAAATTGAAGAGAGAATTCAGAGAATTATTTTATATTCACAACCAATCATATGATTGCACAACATTCTTATATCTAAATGACAGGGGAATCATATCTTTGCAGATCATCATTTCCAGAAGACAAATGGTATCAAACAACTGAATCTCAATGTCACTAACACTTCCTTTGATTTAAGGAAGACGAGACATGATATAACATCCAAGAATAGATCATCTAGGATTTTTTTTTCTGGGATGCTACATCTAACAATCTTTTACTTAATTTCTTGAAGGTAAAAAATGTAATAAAAGCCAGTATCTCTGTTTGTTATGCAAATAAATCTAAGAGTCAGTGATGAGCTGCCTCCCCGACTGCGATGATACTATTTTTCCACATATTAATTTACTGCTTTCTTATATAATGAAATAGTAAACTCTATCTTTGTTTGGAAATTTGTGAGAATTCTACTACTTGACGATAAACAAAGGAAGAATAAAAAATTGGCTGGTTCACCGTGTAGGTTTGGCATCCTACTTTTATGAGTCCCCTTTATTAATTGGAAGAAGTACGTAGACTTCTATGTTGGTATTTTCCCAACTAATTTTTGGCGCCAATTTTGGGTAGCAACTCTAAGACTGTTTGGAAAGTTTTCGCGAATCAATTTTCATATCATTTTGCGACTTGCAGCATTTCGGAAAAATGATTTGAGAAGAATGTTTGTTTGTATCATTTTAAACTTTAGACTGAGAGGAGATATTTTATACTTGAAAGTTTAGACAAAAGAATGTCCGAATGTTTAGAGAAAAGAAAAGTAAGAAGAACTGGAAATGAAGTAGCTTTTAGTTGTACTTTTGTTGAGACATATTTTACTGTAACGATTAAATCATTTCTGGGCACGAAAATTGAGAATTCCCAATTGTGAATTTTTTGAAATGAATTCAAATGCTTTCCAAACACTAAATGCTACATATATGAGAGAAAATAGAATGAAAAACTTGGCAAACACAACCATTTTTTTGGATAATATTAGAATTAAGTTGATAGTCTTACTTCGGACTTTTCTTGTTGATATTTTAGATTCTTATCAGTAAGGCAGATCGTTACCAGAAACAAGTGATTCATGTACATATCATGAGCTTGAAAATAAGAAATCTTAACTGCGATTTTGATGCCACGCGTGAAACTTTCACAGCATGCTCAACAGGAGCTGATCCCTTGCGCTTCATGAAGCCTTGGATAAAAGTTAACCACCAATAGGATAAATTCAAGTTTTCATAAACAGGATGTCGTAAAATAACAGCCTAGACTGACAGTAAAACGTACCAATGTTTCTTAGTTGCTTTTCACGCTTCGGTGTTGCAATTGGGTTTTTATCCTGGAAATAAAGTATAATTTAATCCGAGAATCCCAGCAGATGAGCATAATGTACAAACATTGGATTAAACAAGGAAAAAATTATGGGAAAGTTTAGTTTATACCTTAATGATGGGATCTCCAACCTCACCATTACCGAGAAGACGTTGAGAGTGCCATCCCTGCATCGCACGAGCAGCAGCATCTCTTCTTGCTCTACCCGATCCTGAAGCATGAATAAGATCAACCTGCAAGTAAAGTGTTAACATTCTATGAGTTGAGAATTTGGCTGATGCAAATAAAGTGTTCACACGACATTTTATGGGTTGATTATTTACTAATGCAAATAAATTGCTCACGCGACATTTTATGGGTTGGTAATTTACTAAGACCTAGGGCCGATTTTGAGGATAGGCAATAAACGTGATCGCCTTGGCCCCATTTTTAGTAAATCTGTAAGGGCCTCTAATACTTAAATAAAGCTTTACTAAGTAGTTATTTACTTCTTTTTTTCTAAAATAATTTTTTGAAGACAGTAGTAATTAGTAGTTAACCCAAATTAGTCTATATTCTCTCTTTCTCTTCGATCTTTTCCTTCTTCAGAATTAAAATTGCTAAATCATAAATTCCACAGTTTCTTGTGTTGTGCTCGAATTTCTTTTTTAAAACATGCCAATATGATATGCAATCAGATATTGCAGAGAGAATTGTTTAATTTCGCCGAGCGAAGTAGAAATGACATTTGAAGTGTTGAATTACTTAAAAGCGATGGATGATAGTATTATGAATGCATTAGTTGTTTATATCGATTACAATTGTCTCTGCACAAAGAAGTTTCTTAAATGGATTGGCTGTGTTATCTACTGAAAAATATTTGACAGATGAATTTCACTGTTTTGATTAGTAATTATGCAGCTTATAAAGCAATAAGAGTCATTTATCGATGACATAAAAAATGAATTGTATAGTTCGGTACTCCTAATAGTCATAAGTCATAACTACATTGTTTGATAATTGATATATTAAATATACATTGAATTGACCATAATTCATATATTTGTTAGATGATTTTTATGTTTATTTTCATATTTGATTTTAATTAGGTATCTAAAGAAGTTAGCATGCACTTATGTTGATGTTAATAGTAGTCAAATACCTCAGGAGAGGAAACTTATACTTTCTCTTTCTGTTATATATGTTAGTTAGATATCTTATAAAGCTGATTTAATGTATATTTTATAATTATTGTACTAAATGAAAAGATAGTTATATTGCGGAAGGAGATTTTGAGGAACACTCCTTCAAACTCGCCTTACACAGCTAAAATCTCAGGAACGAGCCCGAAAGATCCGACTAGTATCACAAACAACTATTCTTATTCTCAGAAGTCAAAAGATGAAAAAACAAATTACAAATCACCTGATTCCCAGAAGCAGGATCTGACAAAGAAACATCAGTGAAAGGTAGCTCCCCGCTGCGCATTTTATACTTCTCATATTCCAACAGTGCCTATAAAGACAAATAATCAGATCCAGATTGCATGGTAGAGAAGACTATCTCTGATGAAAAGATAATCTCAGTACATACAAATAAATATAGTTCCTATCAGTTCACAGTGGAGGAAAAATAACGCTAAAACCAGATCATAGCCTGTACCGACAAATGATCCAATAGCGAAAGACTACATGAAACAGGAAATTACGATAAAATTTATACAGAATGTAGAAAAATTCAAAGAAGACTTATAAGGAGACATTTCCAAGGCAACCATACATGCACGCACATGCACATCCAAAATTGACATCTGAATATTTGAAAAATATTACGTTACTGGAAATGTGATCATAAAAACAAATAACGAAGGATGATGATATAGTTTGAGAACAAGATACAAGAGGAATAGTGCAAGTAAATGTAACCTTCTCATAAAATCCTCGAAATGTCCATGAGACAGTGGTACAGGTCCTGTACAGGTGTAAACAACATTAAGCATTCATCGAAATCCAGTCTGAAAACCCGAAAATAATGTGAAAATTATGATAGAGTTGACTTCAAGAGTGTGTTTAAATGCATGTTTCATAGAGAGAGGGATACTGATATGTGACTGACCAAAACTGAGCATATTACAACATTAGAACTTTTAATTAAAAATAAGAGTTGATCCTTACTTTGGGGGTCTGAAGGATTCTCCTACTTGTCGCCACAGCTTCAATGAAGTCACCTACAAAACCGAGAGCAACAGCCTATGAAGTGCATGTCGTACAAACTGAGTATATCACCTCACAAACAGTTCACTTATAAAAGCTACGTGAACTTTGCAGGAAACAGAAAAGGATCAAACTAGTTACACAAAAATCGACAAAATTAGGCCAAAGCTTGTGACCAGTTCCCACTCTTCTTACCATAGATGTAGCTTTCCAACAATATAACTACAGTCTCCTAGATAATCTTTTCTCTTTTGACTTTCGACACATTAAATTATAAACTAACTATAAAGAGCATTGGTTGAGTAGCTCCCAAGTCCAAATAACAACTGAACAATACAGAAGCCAAATTTGATACAAGAGTCTAATGCTATGGAATCAAGGGCAACTTTTCTGACAACATGCTAGAGTGAACTAAGTAAATTAGGTAACACGCAAGTACATTCAACTGACAGAATATTGCTATGGAATCAAGGGCAACTTTTCTGACAACATGCTAGAGTGAACTAAGTAAATTAGGTAACACGCAAGTACATTCAATTGACAGAATATTCATTTCTATCTACGTTAGTTGCAATTTCAAGCTGCGCAGTAATGTGCATCCTTCTGTCCATCTTTTCACTTGAGTTGGAACTGGAAAATAGTTTTCTCATAATATAAGGATGAAATACTTCAAAAACAACTCGCCAAGCGAGTATATATCTTGGCCACCACTGTTTAACATCTGACTCCAACCAATGGACAAATGAAAAAACTTGTATCCTTCAATAGGTGATAAGAGCTGTAAATTGAGAATGTTCAAAAAATTGAAATGCCAAAAGGCAATCAATCTTGAATGGAAGCATAACCAAATATATCCCAGACATTACGCATACTAAATTTATAGGATATAGCTAAATCTATTTACATAAACCTTTCGGCTATAAACAGGGCAACCTTTAGGTGGCCATTGTCTTCCTCTTTGAATTAGAAATAGTAATCTATATCTTTACACTTTAAGCGCACAATATTTCATCTCCCGCATACATTTTTCTTGCAAATATTCCATGTTTCCCTATGTTTATTAAATAATTGTAGGATGATATAATTCTTTTATCTGAAACATGACAACAGCACACTTGTAATTATTGGACTAAACCCAAAAGGGAAGGTTGCTTCCAGAAATAAACTAGAGAGGATAACACCACTTCCTTGCAACATGAACACATTTGAGCGTCTTCAGTAATGATGCCTCACACCTCCAACTTAATATATGTGAGATAGAAGTCTTTGCGATGCATCAGAAAACCGTCATTCTACGTCTGGGTATCCATAATCATCCATTAGTATAATGGATGCACATAGTCAAACCCATTATGCTTGGACCTAAAGCCATTTACAGCTATACTATTCCACAACCAAAAACCATTTATCCACAAGCTCTGAACAACTAAGTCGCTTGGTATTCCTACAGTTAGCTCGCATCAGATGCACACAAACAGTGTGAAACTAAGCAAAAAAGTTGAAAGATGAATCCGCTAATAATACATGAAAAAATTACGCTGATAAGCTTGTTTTAGTTTTTTCTCCATGAAACATAAGACAAAGAAACACAACAAATTGAACAAATCGAAAATACTGTGCATACCTGTTCATAACCGCCAAGTCTGATCACTGCTCTCCACAACCTGATTCAGACAGAATTAAAAATTAAACAATAATCAGTGATCTTAAAGTTTATGCAACAATTGAAACCGATAATTACTTGAGGCAGTTTAACGGCTCTTGATAAAATTTTGGAGGCTTGAAGTCCAAGCATCTTTCTCTGTGGAAGGTTTCAAGCTCCTTCATAAAAGCAGCTTGCTCCTCCTCGGTACCGGATTCATCCCCTGTAACATCATTTCCATCTAATAGGAAAGTTTTAAAGGGGGTTTTGAAATCAGGCTCGTTCTTCAACTCATTAATCTCTTGTGCCGCATGTACCTCTGTTTCTGTGAAGGCAGCATTTGGTTTCTCTTTCCCGTTCTTAGCCACAACCTCCGCCCCTTTTAAACTGTCTTCTATTCCCTCTTCCTTCTGTACATCTTCTACATGGGTGGAATCATTTTCTAATTCCTCCTCCCGTGATCCATTATCCGCAGAGGACATCACCTCTGGCACCTCAGTGTTCAATTTGTCTTCGCACTTCTCATCTTCTACTTGTGCCGCTGCAACAGATGCGGGACATGATTCTTTGGCATTGGCATTGATCAGGGGATGAATTTTCTCAACCTGGAAAATCTTATTGTTGCCCAAAATTAGAGAATTAGCGACGGTAGGCAAACATTCGGGGTCCTGAGGAGCACTTTCAACATATTTTTCTCCGATTGCGTGCTCTATTTTGTTTTCGAGTTCCATATCCTTGAATTCATGAGATTCTTTGTCTTCAACGTGTACAGTCTGCAGATTATCCGGAACAGCCTCAGCAGCGCCACAACCACCGCCTGTATCTTGAACTGCCTCTTTGTTATCCTCCATCTGCCACTTAAATTACGCGTTTCTGAGTTCAAAAAACTAAATGGGGTTTCTTCTATTATCGTCCGCTAAACCCTAGTCCTTTTGTGTTGTGAAGAAAAAACAGAATGCGCTCGTTTGGTTCGAGACGAAGAGGGAGAACTATCATCTGTTCTTGTCACCGTTAACGCTTTTCCCTTCAGAAATTTAAAAAGCGTGTTGAATATAGTTTAATGACTTTTTTTAATTAATAATATAGTTCCAATTATTCTCTAAAATTTAAAAAAAGTAAAAACAAAAAAAAGTTCCTATTAAATTTGTTTTCTAATTATTTCACACCAAATCTCGACTAGCACAGTCCTGATTCACAACACTATATTTTTATTATTACATTATTATTTGTATCTCCTATCATCGAGACTATTTTCTCTAATTCTTTTTTGCTTCATTTATTTAATGATCAAATATTTCATATTATGACAATTAAGTTTATATATTTTTCTTCGGAATGAGTTTGTATTATTAAATTTGTATAAACATTAATGTTTTTATCGATATCACTAATAAACTTTTATTATAATTGTTATTGTCATGTATTAAACTAAATATTATTTTTACTTTTGAAATGTTATTACGTGCATCGCGCGGAGAAAAAATGCTAGTATAATATTAAATAAATATTTTTGAATGATTTTAAATAGTATTGAAGATGTTTGCTCATAAGTAGTTAAGAAATAGTTCACTAAATAATTGTTAATCTAATGTTTTCAATCAAAAAATATTGTATACGATAACACATTTCTTTCCTAAAACTAGTTGAAATGTCCCAAAAATTAATATTTTTAACAATCAAATATATACTAGGGGTCTTTATGCAAAAGTCCCCAACCAAGCATGTTTATTATTCTAGGTTTAGGGGACATATCTCTTTCACCAATAAGCTCATTCCTTTAATATTTATTATAACTAAAGGAAACATTCATGTACCATTTATACCCAATTCTTAATTGTAATCCCAATTTATCAATTTTGTCCACAAAAATCCAATTTTGACCACAAAAATTCAATTTTGACTTTTTTTTTTATCATAATTTAATATGCTCCAATTTCATCCTTAACTTAATTTAATCTCAATCTGACCCCAAATTTCACAAATTACTCAATTTTGACCCAAAATTTTTTTTTTGCCGCCGGACGGCGTGGACTTTTCAACTTTTTTTTTCTTTCTTCCGGATTTTTTCGCTGGTTTCCGGCGTTGAGTATTTTTTTTTTTTTGCTTTTTTCTTTTCTTTTCTTCCGGATTTTTTCGCCGGTTTCCGGCGGTCTCTGGCGTTGACTTTTTTTAGTGTTTTTTTAATTTTTTTTTTTTGTTTGTTTGTTTTGTTTTTCCACGTCCGCCGCTAAACGTTGACCGTAATTGTGCTGTCACTGACAGTAAATTAACGTAATCATACTGTCAATGATAGTTAATTAACGTAATTGTACTGCCGTTGACATTACATTTATGTAATTGTGCTGCCGTTGACATTACATTTATGTAATTGTGCTGCCGTTGACAGTAAATTAATGCAATATTATTATTTTTTATTTATTATTATTTTTTTTTATCTTTTTTGATTTGTTGACAAGTCAACGTAATTATATTACTGTAGTTGACAGTAAAATAACTGTAAACACAATAAAATTACTGTCAACAACATCAATATTATTATTTTTTTGGGGGTTTTGTTTTGTTTGAGTTATTCACGGAGTAACGTATTAATATTACTGTCTATTATTGTAATATTACTGTAAACACAATAATATTATTGTGGTTGACGGTAATATTATTGTTGTTATAGTAATATTGCTGTCAACCACATCAATATTATTATTTTGTTTGGATTTTTTGTTTGTTTGAGTTATTCACGGAGTAACGTAAAAATATTACTGTCTATTATTGTAATATTACTGTTGCTATAGTAATATTACTGTCACTCACAGTAATATTAATTCTTTTGGTTTTTTATATTATGTTTACATTTGTTGAACTGTCAACATAGTAATATTACTTTATTACACAATAATAATGAGTTTTCTTGTGTTAATATTAATGTGCTAGAATCCTCAAAAAAAAAAAAAATATTAATGTGCTAGAGATTAATATAGCAATATTACTGTGTTAAACTATAGTTTAGTTAATTTTACTGTGTTTAACAGTAATATAGTTAATATTACTGTCAATCACAGCAATATTGCTGTTTAAACGGAAAAAAAAAAAGTTACAGAAAAAAAAAAAAGAAAAAAAAAAATTTAAAAAGTCAACGCCGGAATCCGGCGGGAAAAAAAAGGTTTTGAAAAAAAAAAAGTTTTGAAAAAAAAAAGTTTTGGGTCAAAATTGAATAATTTATGAAATTTGGGGTCAAATTGAAGTTAAATTAAGTTAAGAATGAAATTGGAGCATATTAAAGTATGAGGGGTTATTTTAGTTTACAAAAATCTGGACCATGTGTGGACTTATTAGTAAAGGAGATTTTTATCTGAATTTTTTTATGAATAAATACCCATTGACGGGCTTATTTAAGTTTATTTATTAGTTAATCAAAATCACAAAAGTCAAAAGTCATATACTATTTAGCACACTTTTTATTTTATTCAAAAAAATGTTGAAATATAGTATAGAATAGTTTTATGGCGGCCGTTATATGCAAGCCCATTTTTTTATTAGTTCAAACCACATAAAAGAGTTTATTAGTTCAAGCCCGTAAATTAATCTAATTTTATTACATCAAGACCAAAGATGACAAATATACCCTTATCCACAAATAATACTCAAATACAAATAAATCCTATTTTTAATTTGTTCAAGACCAAAAATCAAAAAATCAAAAAATAAAAACAAAAGGAAAATATCATGACTGCCGCCGCTAGACCGCTGCGACGCTGACCAGCGAGACTTCCACCGCATGGCGATGACCAGCGACCCACCCACCAGACCATTACCACCACCGCACCACCACCAACAAGTAAGTCATTTTTACTAAACTTTTGTTTGTAAATTCGAAAACATTAATCGAGTATTGATGTCCTTTTTACTAAATTTTTATTTGTAAATTCAGAAACATTAATTGAACATCGATTTTTGATAAATATGTATGAATGAACATTAATTTATGCTTATTTATTGTTGGGCTGCAATGATTTGGCCGATTTTGGAAAAAAAAATTGAGATTAAAATTAGTTTTTTTTTTTCGTTGGTTTCCCAAATCGGTTTATTCAGACCGATTTTGTACACGAAAATCCACGTTATAATGCCGATTTTTGTTAACCAAATCGGCGACACAACGTCGACTTTACAAGTCAAAATCGGCGTTCTAATGTCGATTATTGAGTACAAAATCGGTTTTCGGAAACCGATATTGTTTGGATTTTTTTTTTAAATAATACATTATATTTGGTTAATTGATATTTTTTAAATATTTGAAACGAAAATGTTTATCACCATTCGGTTGCGTCTACCACTCCTTTAACCCAATCGAATAGAGCTTTCCGTGTCTCAAATATTTATTCGTTATATAATTCATTTGAATAATCTTCCATCATTCCCCTAGGTTGATGCGCGAAAGTATGAAAAAACAATCTTAAAAAAACACAGATAATAAAATCGGTATTTAAAAACCGATTTTTGTAGTACAATACTGATAATACAAAAACAAATCGGTGTTGCCTTGCCGATTTTTACTACAAAAATCGGTTTTTAAGTACCGATTTTTATTAAAATAATCGGGATGTGGTTATCGACTTTAGTAACAAAAATCGGTATTTGCAGACCGATTTTTTGTATCGTCGAATTTTTTTTCCAACAAAAAAACGACCAAAAAACAAAAATAAACGGTTAATATATACTTCATTGTGTTCTCCGCCCTCGTAAACCACCATATCATTGTTTTCTGGTTACATCGTGAATGTTTGGTATGTGTTTGATAATTTTGGTGTGTAGGATTTCTTGGTGGATTTGTGAAGAAGAAGAAGAAGAAGGAGATTTTTAAGTCGTGAAATAAGGAAGAGAGATTTCTGGATAAATGTATTTTATTTGGTCTTGCATAAATAAAATAATTTTTTTTTATTTTTTAACGTTTTGTGTTTTTTATTTGATTTTAAATTTCATTAAGGGTAAATTATTATTTTTATATTGGAGGTCTTGAACTAATAAAAAAATGAGCTTGCACATAACCGACGCCTATTTTTATTCATAAGTAGTCAAGAAATAGTTCATCTAAAAATTAGAGAAATAATTTTTTGAATAATCAACAAAAATCACAAAAAATCAATATATATTTACTCCATTTGTTAATATTCATTCATCACCACTTTAGTCTAAGTATAGACATGTATTATTATTGGTGTGCGCCAAAAATTTCCATAACAATCTCTCAATAAACAAAATTGACCAAGAATTCATTTGAAATGATTACAAATTAATATTATCTCATCAATCATGTTTAACATAAATAATTCAGATAGATCTGATCCAAAAATGTAGTTAATCAACAAACATGGGCAGTAGCTGGCTTCACATTAGCTGGATTATCATCATCATTTTTGTTGAGTGAGTCCCAATCAACTTGTCGAAGAATATTGAATCTCTCATCTAGTGTCACAAAACCCGAATGGGATGCCGGTGCCACCTCACCACATATTCCAGCTTTGTAGACAAGAAGCAAACCTGCTCCCATATCAGGACCATGGAGCTTTCCTGTCAGCAATACTCGTAGGGGCATGAACAGAGATTTTCCCTGGATTTTCACTATTATTATCATTAAATGAACAAAAAAACCAACTACCGTGCATATATTTAATCTTTCTTCCCAAAGGCGAATAGTAACTAACTAACCTTGCGTTTCAGCGCTTTGCCAAAGTTCTTGACCCACTTCTGCCAACCAGAACTACCTTCTTCAAGTGCATTAGTAAATTCACCACTGTCATAGGCAGATAATAAACTCGCAGCAACTTCCGACAGCTTATCTTCTAATACAGGTTTACCTTCAGGACTGCAATCAATCAACAAAATTTCAATAATTATTAACTTGTCTCTTCTATCACACTCGGTAATAATATAATATAGACTTGATTTCATTACGTGCTACATTGCATGCTTTCTCAAGTGCAACCAAACCATTTAACCAATCAAATCATCATTTATTAGTCTATCAAATATTTGCCTGAAGCAATGTGCTGCTGCATCATTTGGCATGAATAATTACTTGACCATTTTCTCAACTTATAGGTTTTTTTTTATGTTATATTTTTTAAACATATAACACGTAGGATCTTATTACGGTAAAAGCACATTCATATTAAACTTCTCGGACCAGGAAAAAACTTTAAAATTAATTACGGTAATAGAAGAATGATAGTAAATCAAAAAAAGTAAAATCAAATAATCACACACCGATGGGTTTCAATACCTAGAAAGTGTCGAATATAAAGGATATGACAGTAGGCTTGAAAGAGCATTATCAGCATCTGTTATCAAGTCAATCCCATCCTTCAGCAGCTGGACAGCTTCCTGGCCATATGAATTGACTAGGCATTGTAACTATCATTACTACAATCAAGATATGCAATAAAAAGACAATATCATGATTTTTAATGATTCATTGCCTCCAATATCTTATGAGTCATGATTAAAGGAACGCCAAGACAGCTCCAATTGGCTGTTAATGATTCCATAATTCACAAGTATAAAATTAGATGCAAGAGAAAGCCATACTTCTACAAAACTCCCCTTTGATTCTGCGACCATGCCAGTGCTCTTCCAGCGCTCCCCAATAAGTTCGGTTAGTTTTTCTGATGGCAGTGATCTCAAATGTTGACCGTTCATCCACCTTACATTATTAGAAGAATATATTTGAGGAGAAGAGAAACAATAATCCATTATGACTAACAATCGTTTGCAAGAAAAAGAACAAGATATAACAAACTGCTCGCTAGACCTTCAATAAAATTCGACAATTACCTTAACTTGGTAGAATCAAAAATAGCTCCACTTTTATTAACACGCTCAATTGTGAACTTATCAACTGCAAATCATGTCAGAAGCTTCAACCAACAATAATGACATAATCCATGTTATACAGCATGAATTATCACATACACAAATATTTCCGTAAAGGACTGACTAACCAAGTTGATCGAGGGTGAAAAACTCATTCTCAGTACCATCTCCCCAACCCAATAATGCAAGATAGTTCACCATTCCTTCAGGCAGAAGACCCATCTCTTTGAACTGTCAATGGGAAGTTTCAATAAGAAATATGTTAGCTAAGAAAAAAAGTGAAGGGAAAATCAACTAGTTTTTTATTTTTTTAAATCCACAGTTAATAGATTCTTGATGACATAAGACTTGTGAAATTGCATTGAGAGGGGGGGGGGGCTATACTGGTTTACCTGACCCACAGAAGTTGCCCCATGCCGTTTTGAGAGTTTGCTCCTATCAGGTGCAAGAATCAAAGAAACATGTGCAAATTTAGGCATTGGGAACTCCAGAGCCTGGTTTCAGGTAAAATATTTATCTCTTTGTTAGTTTCATCCAAATGCCAGATACAGCTTGGAGAGTAAATAAGAAACAACTCAACTCCATAGCACAAGGAAAAGAGGAAACAGAAAATAAACAGATTCCAGCGGTACCTTATATATCAAAGCTTGCCTCAAAGTATTTGGCAAGTGTTCCTCCGCTCTGAAATACAAAGTCCAGCTATAACCAATGCTATCGACAATTATGAACAAAAACGTATAAAACATTTGCCTCAGCATGCTACACTCACCTTATAACGTGTGAGATAGCCATGGTGGCATCATCAACAGTTACGCAAAAGTTGTAAACAGGTTGTCCGTTACTTCTCATTATCACAAAATCCCCAAGTGTGTCTAAATTCCAAGTTACCTTCATGACACTATCAAGCAAAGTTATTACCGAATAAAAGTAATCCAAACCTCTGTCACAAGTATCAGACAAGTAGTTGAGACACAGTCTTATAAAGGATGACTATGAACATATTACCATAATATGAAAAGTATTCCTAAATTTCCATGCTTATGTTAACACTTGCAAGACCAAATTACAAACAGTTTTTTGGATATGCATAAAATTTCTTTGTTTTGAAAGTATAATAACTGAGGCTACCGACCTCATTATAGGAGGATGCATTACAAGTTAAAATAATGCAGAAGAACAAATCTAGGTCATTTTACTTTTCGGTTAATCAACTTATTGGGATGCGCACAAGCAGGACCATTAATATAAAGCGTACTCATGCAAACTTTGGGAGTATGGTTTGCACTAATAATCCCGTATAGAATAGAGCTTCACTATGAGATACTAATCCGATAATGCTTCTTGTTACTTTGGCAAGATTCCTCTTGTAGTTGGAAAGCTCTATCTATGTCAAACTATACTATGTACTAATGTAAGTGTTAACGTATGTGTTTGTGCAACTTACTGGAAGTCGTTGATGTCCTTTGGAATAACAAGTAAAAATCTTACGTGCAAAATTTTTCCATCACCTAATTATGTGCCAACATAATTTTTTCATCCACCCAACTCTACAATCAGTAGTTTGTATCCTTTTATGTCAGAACTCACATTAACAATAAGTTAAGTTACTGAAATATAAAACAACAAAATCGATTGATATTGGTACAATTTGATCCATTATCAGAGAGCACGTCTGAGGTGATCAGATGGTACCAGGAGGGAGGGCCACCGCTTGATGGGGTAAATTTTAATATGAGGCTGATTATCAATTTCTCAAGTGACTATATTTGGTACTTTTGGTGTTCTTTTAACAATTTGCCGCACACAATTGCACGAACATCCATGATGTATTTGGCAGTTTGTGAGCTGAGATGACTTCTCGAACTCTGCAAAAGATAAATGTCCTACCCCAGATTAACAGCTGTCTTAGTCCTACATTAGTATTCTATATCATTTTCCTTTATTACCTGCATGCTTATCTCCTACTAAGGAGACACTTTAGCCAATCTGTAGCCACTAACGCTTCTCGTTTTACTAATTAATAGTTTGCCTGCAATTAAACCCGTTGTCAACACAAGCTTATGCGACACAGATAAAATATGTATTGCTTATCTGCAAACTAAGGACCAAAATGATCTACTGCGATAGCTCATGCAGCATCCTAGTAACTATTCAGTAATCCCTGATGTTCTGATAAAACCCATCCTCCCAGTGCATAATAAGTCACGTGACTAAAATACTTCCAAATTCGATCTGAACATATTGTCATTCACTTTAGTTTGTTAATGTCACGATTTGTCATCTTATGCCACGGGAAACTGATTAGACAAGAAATAAAACAAAAAAAATAGACACTGGAACATCAGCCAATTCATACCTCACCACGAATGAGATCATCGATTTTCAAACTTCCCGCCTTGGGAACTCGAAATCTATAAGTGTAAGGAGTCCCCTTTGCCAACTCCTCTTGCACTTCCCTCTCTGTTGCGCTGGCCCACTTGCCAGTGTACACAGGAGGCAGTTGATTCAGTTTTGCTATCTCCTTCATCTTTTCAAGCTCCTGTTATAACAGTAATATTAGAAAACAAAACCGGCAGAAATGAAAAAAATAAAATAAAATGAGGGATGGAGACCAGAGGCTGTAATGCATGCAGAGGGGTCAGTCTGCAATAGATCAGCTATGAGGTAGGTCTCAAGAGTAACGTATATCACTTTTGGGGAATACAGTAAAGTTTAATCAGCACCTGACTAGGAGATTCTCAATTTGGCATATAAATAAAACACTAAAATAAATCTACAAATTCCCTGAAAAAATTACAGGATTCCAGGACCTTACAATTTCAAGATTGACAAGAAACAAAAGTTGAGGCAATGATTACCTCGTTCGAGCAGAAACAGCGATAAACATGACTAGTTTGGAGGAGTTTATCAGCATGCTGCTTATAAAGGGCATTTCTTTCAGACTGCCGATAGGGGCCATAATTTCCACCAACACCGGGACCTGTAAATCAAATTCTGACTCTTAAGCAATAAAAATGCGACTAACATTGAGAAATTTGAGCACCATAACCTAGGTCAAATAAGGGAAGGAGGGAGGGAGGGAGGTTTGACCTTCATCCCAATCGAGACCAAGCCAGGAAAGATCGCGAAGCAAAGCGTCCTCGGACTCCTTAGTGGATCTCTCTAAGTCGGTGTCTTCAATTCGGAGAACAAATTTGCCGCCTTTAGACCTGGCGAACAAGTAGTTGAATAGTGCAGTACGCGCGCCACCAACATGGAGATTCCCAGTTGGAGAAGGCGCGAAGCGCACTCGAATAGACTCTGCCGGCGATGAAGATGACGCTGAAACTCTAAAGCTTCTGAATATTCTTCGCCGGAAAAGTGGAGCCACCTCGGGAACTACTCGAATCCGGATTGCTGGAGCCCCAACTAGACAACCCATTTCGAGGAAAGGGAATAGCACTGGTTATCGAATGAAAATATGGATAGCGATGACCGACTAGCTAGTAGATTACGTTCGTTACAAATAGCTTGGGCCTATTCTGAGTTTCAGCCCATTTCAACTTTTTCACCAAATGTAGAATTTGGACTTTTATTTGTTGATTGATGATTGATGATTGATGATTGATGAATACATATACAAGTTTTACTTCTCTTAAATGTACATATACAAGTTTTACTGACTCGTAAATGTAAATTGTAATAATAATTAATATTGTAGAAAGGAAAAAAAAAGGAAAAAGGAACAAGAAAAGTGCCATTTAAAAGGGACCTTCTCTTTAGTTGCGGTCCGCTGATCGTTAAACCAAAGAAGAAGCCAAGAATCGTCCAATTCATCTGCATCTGGATCGAAGAAGAAGAAGAAGGTAAAGAAGAAGAATCATGGAGAGCACGGGAGAAATGGTTTCGCTGCCAGTGTTGTTGGAGTCGAATTATAGGGCTTCAACCATTCCGTACCGTTTCCCATCCGACAATCCGAAGAAGCCCACCCCCACTGAGCTCTCTTGGATCAACCTCTTCTCCAATTCCATCCCCTCTTTCCGGTTTTCTTTTTTTCTTTTTCTTTTTCCTAATGTTATTCTCATTTCTCTAGTAATTCATAATTATCATTTCTTTGTTTGTCAATCATCAACTGCACTGCAGTAAGCGCGCTGAGAGCGATGATACGGTTTCCGATGCTCCCGCCAAAGCTGAAAAGTTTGCTCAGAGGTATTGTGTTCTCAATCAAAGCTTTACTGGATTGGTGCTAATTTTTATCACCTCATAGTCCCAAGCTTTACGTCACTGCTTTCTTCACCTGCCACAGGTATACAGAAATATTGGAGGATTTGAAGAAAGATCCAGAGAGCCATGGTGGCCCACCTGATTGCATTGTACACTAATCTCTTACACAAGAATGAGCTTTTAAATAAGTTCCACTTTTGTATTTTTCAGCAGTTTTTGTTTTTCTTCAGCTTCTTTGCCAGCTTCGTGAGCAAGTTCTTAGAGAAGTTGGGTTCAGAGATATATTCAAAAAGGTCAAGGTAAGAACATATGGCTAACTCTCCTTGATGGATAAGTAGATTATTACCACAAAGAAATTTCATCCATGTTAAGATTTGAGAATAAGTTATGCCGTGTTTATATATCTTTATGTCTATCTACCTATCCAAATTTATCGCTGTGGGAGGTGCAGTAGCCAGAATGCTTTCTCCCTCTCTTCTGTATGTTCACCTTCTCTACAACTCCAAATTTTAGCTCATATGGAACAAAAGCCTGTAACATCTATATCAGTTTATTGTTCTTCTGAGTCCCTTGTTCCCTTTCTTGTTTGATCATTTTTCGCAAGGGGAGAAACAAGAGCATAGTTTTACGCCTAAGTGATTGTTTTGATTGTGTGACAGGATGAAGAAAATGCCAAGGCGATATCTTTATTTGAGGATGTTGTGCGTCTTAATGATGCTATTCAGGATGAAGCTGAACGTGTTGAGAATTTGATTAGAGGGATCTTTGCTGGTAACATATTTGATCTTGGCTCAGCTCAGGTACATTGAATCTCTTTGATTAAGTGAAAACCCACAGTCATTTGCATTTACTAATTCTGTGACTCTAGTTTCTCATATGGAGTACTCAAATAATTTACTTTAGCATCATCTTTTCTGAAACAAACTAGCATAATTCATAACCAAATCATTTGCATTTCTGTTGCTCGTCTGACTGGGTTTTCACATTTTCGAAGTGCTTTTTCTTCTGGTGCTTAAGAGCTCCTCTAATCTCTGCTTCTTTTTTTTTTTTTTTTTTTTGGTGCATAGAGCACATTATGTCTGGATTTTTTTTTGGCTACAAATTCTGCCTGTAGTGATAGTTATCCTCGTCTTTTTTGTGTCTTTTACTTTTTATTTGTTGCAATTGAAGCTGAAAGTTTCTAAAACTTATGCAATCTTCTAATCTTTCTTTCTATGATGAGACTGTAAACTTAAAAAGATATGAGAACTGTTTTACTATTCTGGTGTATTGCATGCGGATGCATCATATTCTTGCTCCTGAAAGATACGTGACCTGCAACTATTTGCAAAGGATGGTAGATCCTCTATACTTAAAACAATATTTTCGCTGTACTTCTTGAAGCTTGCAGAGTTATTTGCAAAGGATGGTATGTCCTTTCAAGCCAGCTGTCAGAATCTTGTCCCCCGACCTTGGGTTATTGATGATTTGGACAAATTCATTTCAAAATGGGGCCGCAGATCATGGAAAAAGGTTTGTTTGTGAAACCACGACTTTGTTTTTCTATATCAGTTGCTCCAATGGATTGACACGTGTAATGAGTTTTTTTTTAATGTTTATGCCGCAGGCTGTAATCTTTGTAGATAATTCTGGTGCGGATGTCATTTTGGGTATATTGCCATTTGCAAGGGAGTTACTCCGACATGGTGTGCAGGTCTAATTGGGATCCTTTACTTGTTTTACTTCAAAATAAACAATTAGAGACTCTATCTTGATTGGATTGCGTGTTCATTGGAAACTGCTGTAGCAAGGGACTTATTGTTGCTTCACATGTAGTTAAATGATTCTGTATTGGTTAGATTTCCAACTGCTTGGGTGGCTTTTTTTTTTCTGATGCTGATTGGTTGGGCCAGTCTATGATTTACACACATGCACACACAGAGGTATAGAAAAAAATGAAGCTAGTAGACAATGACGGCGCCTGCACTACCAACACTTTAGATTTTTGGGTATCACTTCATATGCACACAATG